GCCTCAAGTGATCCTCCTGCCTTGGCCTCCCAAAATGCTGAGATTATAGGCATGAGCCACTGTGCCTGGCCTTCACGCTGATTTTTTTAAGAGCCCTACAGTCACCTTCAGATCTTGTCATTTCTCTACCATTGTGTGTGAGACGGGGCATGGAGTGAGCTTGGTCAGGTGTGGGTCAACAGCCTGGAGACTCAGAGCTGCTGGTTTCCCGAGAGCCCCCAAAAGTTATCAGAGTTTCTGAGCTGAGTGTCTGCAGTTGCCAGCCCCCACAATGCTGGGAATACTGGCTTCTTTGTGTTTAGAACTTATTCTGAGAACCTTGATGAGAACACATCAAGCAAGCAGTTCCTCCCAGCCAGGGCTGGAGCAACATGCCAAAAAACATTCTTGTCTATGGGAAAAAGACAACCAGTATTTTGTGCTGTTTGACCAAGATGTTTTTAAATATACACATGCCTCAACAATCCCTGGCCTCAATCGCACTGCTAATTTGTTTAAATCCCTGACACTCAGATGTCAAGACTAGCTTCATCTAGCAGCGTTCTCTTTAAAGGAACCCTGTTTTTTTTTTTTGTTTTCATTTTAATCACTGCCTTCTTCTCTGGGAGGTATTGTGGGCTGGAGAAAGAAGTCAGGTTTGAGAGTCAGACAGATTTAGATTGGAGTCCCAGCTGTCACCAGATCTCTGGGTGATCTTGGCGAACTAAATTCTGAGCTTCTGTGCATTATAGGCATTCAGCATATATTTGTTGAATCAAAAATACTTTTCTTGAAAGTTTATGAAGTTGTACAACGCCCAGCAGCCCCCTTTTCTCTATTTCCTTCCTCTCGCAGCAAGCATTGACTATACCTCTTTCCCTAACCCTCAGTTTACCATAGCTTCTTCCAACCTCTCTCTAATCCATTACCTTTTTCTGACCTACCCTGTCTCAAATCTAACTCAGGCCTTTTTGCAAGAGGAAGTTTAAGCCATTGTTTACTCATTAACTCACTTGACCCTTAGAACAATTGTGGGAGGTGTTTATTTCAGAAAGAAAGCTAAAGCACAGGACAGAAAAATAACAAGGTCATAGTGCAAACTAGTAAGTAGCAGAACCGAGAGCATAGGACTCTTATTTTCAAACATTGGTTTGTACTCTAAAATTCACTGCAGTTGCAAATTCGCAACCAAAATGGCTGCCTGGAAAGGGTCTTTTGCAATAAAATCTCAGTGTCCAACATCAAAGACAGTTCTTCAGGGTTTTCAATTAACTATACATCCTGCCCCCAGCTGCTCATCTCTGCACCTCTAACAGGTACTTCTCAGAGTAGGAAATTGGGCTTTCTCCTTCAAAGAGAAAAGTAGGGAAGGCCTGAGGACAGTGTAATTAAAATGGAGCGGTAGAGACCACGAATTGCTTGGATGAATTCATAACTGATTGGTCTCTGAGGCAGGGATTATTATTGTATTTTAAGCTTAAAAGTAGTGATTTTTGCATTGTTACAAAAACCAAAATAGCAAAATATCATTTGATACTTGTATTCTGTTTGCAACAGCTACCACTTCCTTTAGCCCCAACAAAAATCAATAGGTGCGCATTCTCTACAAGTCCGTGCTGTGAGAAAGAACAGTCCCAGAATGCCGGTATCGCTAAATGTCATGCAAGGATTTAGACACTTTTTAAAAGGAAACTCTGGGAGTGCCTGTTGTCTGGAGAGTTGACATTGTCCAAAGCAGGCCAACACTGGTGTGGGTATGGAGAACCCACGTCCCAGCTCTGGCTCACCTGCAGATGCCTTGAATTTACCTCTCTGGGTTGCAAGTGGGAAGACTTCTTTTAAAAGTCCTTTCTAGGTTTCAAAATCCAAAGGTTACCAAGGTAGTTTTTATTTGTCTCAATAAGTGGCCTATTTGCTTAAAGCAAGTGTACCTCTGTATATAACCCCAAAGCTTAGGGCAGTGCTTCTTGGCTTTAGTATCTGAGAAAGGTGCCTTTGGGAAGAGTTTGGTCAAACAGAAAGTAGTCTGAATCTTAAAGGTTTGGGATGAATGTTTGAAGTAGAATCTGGGAAATCTGCTTCCTAGGGCTGTTAGAACTACATTGGTCTCCTTAAATTACGTCAGCATCTGAGGCAGTTTCCTAAGGGGATTTCTTTTCAATTCAAAAGTTCAGCTGCAGGAATAGACAGCTGTACAGGACTAGATCTTCCCATCTCTCATCCTTTCCCCTTCCCCGAGTAACGACTCAGAAAGGCTCCCGAAATTCTACTCAGAATCGGAGCCGTTCGCATTCCAACAAGGATCCCTTAAGCCAAAGGCTGGCGTGTTTGTGTAGAATGTCCCTGGGGTAGGGGCGGTATCTGGGGGAAGGGAATGTGGTGCAGGAGACACCTGCCCTCTGCCCTTGAAATTGCACCGTAAGATGCTGCCTGTGTCACTCACAGCGGTGCTGATACTACCCGCCAAAGACAAATTGTGAACACGGAAAAATGGTCGCTCCCTGCTGTACATCCTCAGGACAAACTACTAAACTTGGAGACAGGAGATTGTTCAGACCATATTGTACTGGGTGGTGATCGGTGTTTCATTTTGGGGGAGTCTGGTCTACTGAGCAGATTTAATGTTTCCGTATTGTCATGGCAGGGCTTAATTGACTATGTCTGAAAGCTTTTACTGAGAGTTCTAAGAAAACTATTGAGGAAAATGAAATGTTATTTTGTAGTAAATGGATTATTTTTGTCTATTTAGTATATACATAGCTGTAGCTTTGTAAAAAAAAAATCTTTGAAAAAATATATGAATGTGCCGTCTTATTTATTGATTACTGTAAATTAAGATACAAATGGCTATTTGCATAATTTATACCTGTGGGAAATTAACTGGAGTATTTGTTTTTTGACTGTTTTCTATTAAGGAATATTAGGCTTGGTGCTATGATGAATGATCTTGTAAAATTATATGTATTCTTAAGAAAATTTTTGAATATAATTTCTTGAACTGACCATTTCATTGATAATACTTAATTCCGTGTGTGTTTGTGCTTTTGACAACCAGAAATTACACTATTTTTTTCAACAAATAGTCGCAACAAATAACACTTTTGCCAGGGCTGAAGCGAAGCCAGTTGGCTTTAGAGTGGTAGAGATTGTAGAGAAGGTGCCCTTTTTAAACTGCATTAATTACCTTGAGCCTTTGTAATGCTCCGAGAAGTAGTAGTCATAGTAGTAGTAGTTGCTCTGCAGCTCTGGAGTGGGACTGCCTGGGTCTGAATCCTAGATCTGTCTTTTACTAGTTCTGGGACCTCTAGGAAGTTACCATAGTAGCCAGGGGTCCTCAGAAGACAGAGCCTGAGCCAAAGCTGATACAATGATTGCGTCATTTGAGGGCAGAGAGGATGCAACCAAGGGCAGCAGGAGTGAGATGAGGACAGAGGGAGAGCAAATAAAAAGTGGTGCCACAAATATTTGTGACACACTTACTTGGCATCAGCACTGTTCTGGTTGCTGCAAATATAATAGGAAACCAAAACAAGGTTCTTATCCCCCCCGAGCTGACCGTCTAGTGAGAAAAGGCAGACAGAAGCAAAATGGTAAAATGCATAGTATGTCGTCCGTGCTATAAGAAAAAGCAGGGAGGGAAGGTAGATTGGGGATGGACAGTGAGGTGCTGCCAGGCTCATACAGTAGCCAGGAAAGACCTCTTTGAGCAACAGACATTTGACTAAAGACCTAAAAGAGCCTCAGGGACAGATCCTTCGAATACCTGGGGAAAGAGTTTTCTAAGCAAAGGGAGCAGCCAGTGCAAAGGCACTGAGGCAGGATCATGGCTGGAGTTTTTAAGGGACAGCAAAGAGCCTGGTTTGGTGAATGCACGGTGAGTGAGAGGAGAGAGGCCAGGTAGGGCCTTGTAGGATGTGGTAAGGACTTTGGCCTTTACCAGGAGTGAGCTGGGATCCACTGGAGAGTTTTGAGCACGTGTCAGCTTACACTTGAGCAGGCTAACCCCGGCTGCCATAATGAGAATAAACTCCAGGGAACAAGGGCGGAACACAGAGGCCAGCCGGAAGTCCATTTCAACAGTCTGGGAGAGATGACAATGGCACAGGTGGGTGCAGCGGAAGTGGGGCACAGTGATTTCATTCTGGATGTATTTTGAAAGTGGACCCTCTGGATTTGCAAATGGATTGGCTGTAGAGTGGAAGAGAAAAAGGACTGAGAAATGCTCCAAGGTTTTGGCCTGAGCATCTGGAAGAATAAAGATGCCATAGGCTGATGGGGAAATGGGGAGAAGCAGATTGTGGGGAAGACCCGGAATTCCTGAATCTGAGCATGTTAAGTCTGAGTTGCCCGTTCCTCATCTCCTTTCCTTCTCCCTGTCCAAGGGTACTCGGGCTGTGGCATTGAAGTGCCCTGAGGTGACTGTGCCTTTGTCCTCACTGGTAGGGCCCAGCCCCCATGGCCCCTTAGCTGCTCTGCTGCTGTGCCATGATTGCCTGGGCTTGGGCATCTCTGACCGGTTTTGGAATCTCAGGTCCAGTGTACCATGAGGCCATTCCCATGGCATCTGTGGAGCCCCCAGACTTATCTCTCCCCGACCAGTCCCACTCTGACATGCCACCCCGAAGTGGGTCTCCCGACCATTCTCCCTGCCGTATTTGCATTTTAAATCTTTTGAATACAGATACCAGGAGGCCCTTCACAAATCTTCCTGGATGTACAGAGCCTTCACCCTGCTTGAATGGAGAAAAAGAGAAAATACGGGGAGAAAATACATCGGACGATCTGGCCACATTAAAAAGGGAATGGCAGGCTGCATGACAGGAAGATAAATCCTGTACTGAAATTGCCAAAGCCTGTAAACAGCTGAGCATAATCATATTTCAACTTGGTGGTATATTACTTTGGAGGGAGTGGTTATGCCATAAAAAGCTCAAAGTGTGAAGATGGGGTGCTATTTTGTTTCCACTAATTGCTTCCACGTTTCAGATTAATTTCAGTGACATGTGACAGCCCAAAAAAGCAATGGTTTAAATACCAATAAATTTTATTTTTATCTTAAGAGACAGACAGTCCTGCTTGGCACAGCAGCTCCCCTGTCCTTCTCGCCACTCCCAGTGCTCTGGCTGTGCCATCCTTAGACAATCGTCCTTGTCTTTATGGTCCAAAATGGTGTCTGTACATCCAGACCACACATCCATATTCCCTGCTGCAGAATGGAAGAGAGGCAGCAGTGGGCGGCCCCTGCCTTCTCAGAGTTCCCAGAAGAACCCTCACAACACATGGGCTCTCATCTCCTTGTCCGAGCTAAGCCACTGACCACAGTTGCTATGGAGTAAGGAAATGTGTCCTTGGTCCAAACACATAGATCTTGCTTCTCTCCCATCTTCACCTTCTCCCGAGCACGTCCTTCCTCCGTTCCCAGCCTGGGCACTCCTTCAGCTCCAACCTCTGCTAAATGAATTACAAGTGAGAAGGGCTGTTGGTTGGGAGCAGGCATCCAGCAGCCTTGGTGACATTTGCCTAAGTCCTGGTTGTCAGGGGTTGGGCCAGATGTGGGCAGCTTGTTCCTTATACATACCTGTATGGAAGGCCTGCAGGGGGTCCGGGGCTTAGAAATGGGGATGAGATCAAATCCATCCTCTGAGGGAGTTCACCCTGAGCAACTACCATTTCTTTTTCTTTTTTCTTTCTTCTTTTTTCTTTTCTTTTTTTTTTTTTTGAGACAATGCCTCACCCTATTGCTCAGGCTGGAGTGTAATGGCATGATCATAGCTCATTGCAGCCTTCAACTCCCTAGCTCAAGGGAACCTCCTGCCTCAGCCTCCTGAGTAGCTGGGGCTACAGGTGTGCACTACCTGCCAGGCTCACAGCTACCCATTCCTGAGCACTCTCCCAGGCGCTAGGCTATGAACATACTACACTATCACAAGACTCCCACAGTGAGTTTTGTGGTGGGTGGTTGCATCCTATCCATGAGAAGATTGAGACTGGAAGGAAGGAATGAATGAAGACAGTGCAGACAGAGTTGGAATAGGAACTTGGGGCCACTGGAATCTATCTGGCACACCATTCTTCCTTCTGTGTCCCCAGAAGTGGCCCCCAAGAGAATGTGACCTGGGCCATGGGATCTGCAGCTGCTTCTGGTGGGCAGGGCTCAGAGAGACCCACAGGGCAAAAATGACTGCCAGGGTTCCAGTCTGAGGCCCGTGTCCTGCCATGTGGAAGAAAACTGGACAGGGGAGCTTCCTTTGCCACCCTGACTCAGGGGTTCATTCTTTTAGGACCTCTGAAAAGTCTCAACATTCCCAGCCCTCAGTTCCCTCAACACTGAATACAAATCATAACAGTCCCCCTAGGCAAAAGAACTCCATAGACATTTCTGGAAAAAAAAAAAAATGGCAAACAGGCATATGAAAAGGTCCTCAATGTCAGTGATCATCAGAAAAATGCAAATGAAAACTACAATGAGATAACATCTCACCCCAGTTAAAATGGCTTTAATCCAAAAGACAGGCAATAAGGAACATGGGTGAGGATACAGAGAAGATGGAACCCTTGTATGCTGTTGGTGAGAATGTAAATTAGTATAACCACTATGGAGAATGGTTTGGAGGTTCCTCAAAAAACTAACAATAGGACCGGGCATGGTGGCTCACGCCTGTAATCCCAGCACTTTGAGAGGCCGAGGCGGGTGGATCACTTGATCCAGCCTGGCCAACGAAGACAGACAATGAAAACCTGTCTCTACTAAAAATACAAAAGTTAGCCAAGTGTGGTGGCACACACCTGTAATCCCAGCCACTCAGGAGGCTAAGGTAGGAGAATCACTTGAACCTGGGAGGCGGAGGTCACAGTGAGCCAAGATTGAGCCATTGCACTCCAGCCTAGGCAACAGAGTGAGACTGTCTCAAAAAAAATTAAAAAAATAAAAAATAAACCTAACAATAGAGCTACCATATGATCCAGCAATCCCACTCCCAAGTATATACCTAAAAGAATATAAATCAGTATACTGAAGAGATCTCTGCACTCCCATGTTTATTACAGCACTGTTCACAACAGCCAAGATTTGGAGGCAACCTAAGTGTCCATCAACAGATGAATGGATAAAGGAAATGTGGTACATAATGCACAATGTAAAACTATTCTACCATAAAAAAAGAATGAGATCCTATCATTTGCAACAACATGGATGGAATTGGAGGACATTATGTGAAATAATCCAGGCACGGAAAGACAAACTTCTCATGTTCTCACTTATTTGTGGCGGCTAAAAATCAAAACAATTGAACTCATGGAGATAAAGACCAGAAAGATGGCTACCAGAGGCTGGGAAGTGTAATAGTGGAGGGCTTGGGGATGGTTAATGGGTACAAATATATAGTTAGATAGAATGAATAAGATCTAGTATTTGATAGCACAACAGGATGACTACAATAATTTATTGTATATTTTAAAATAACTGAAAGAGTATAATTGGAAGGTTCATAACATTAAAAAAAATGCTTGAGGGGATGGATACCCCATTTACCCTGAGGTGATTATTATACATTATATGCCTGTGTCAAAATATCTCATGTACCCCATAAATATATACACTTACTAGTACCCATACACATTTAAAAAATTTAAGTAACCAAATTAAACATCTAGAGATTAAAGCTTAAAAGAAATAGTCCCCCTGCGAGGACCGAAACGAGCTACTGTCTATAAAAATACCCAATACATAGCGTAAGCACTAAGGTTCATGGAATTAGAACAGCATCATCCTTTCATTCCCTCTTAAGTCCTAAAGCTCCAATTACCTTTTCTTAGAATTCCATCCCCTCCCCAATCCAATTTTCATCATTTGCAGACTTTTTTGGTGCCAGGGCCATAACCCTGGAAACGCCTGTGTAGCCTTGAATTTTCCAGACAGACAACATGTATCCACAGTGCAATCCTCCCTGGCCCAACTGCCGTAATGGGACATGAAGCCTTGGTGCAATGCATGCAGAGGGGCTGCCTGCACCCACAGAGTAAGAACCTTATGTGAAGTCATCTATCCTGCCTGGGCTAAAGATTGGCCCATTTGTGGTGACCACAGAAAAAACTAGAGGCTGAGTATAGTTGTTTGCCCAATCCTTATAGGTAAGTTGTGTATTTTGGGGTGGGAGTATGGGATGGGGAAAGTTGGCTTTCAAATCACTTTGGTGCCATTTTGTGTGGAATTCTTTGCTAAAAAGTATTAGCTCAGTCCTTGGAGACTCTGGGAGGATCCCAGGTGATGCTTGCAAAGGACTCTCCATCCGAAGACAGAACTTGGCTAGGACTCTATTGGAACCATGACCATCTGGGGACAGAGTTTCTTAAAATTAAAAACAATTGAACTTACGGAGATAGACAGTAGAATGATGGTTACCAGAGGTTGGGGAGATGAATGGAGGAGGGGAGGAAGTGAGGATGGTTAATGGGTACGAAAGTATAGTTAGATAGAATGGGGAAAAGTCTGATTTGGTTCAGTCCTGTCTAGCGCCTTGCCAATGCCGGATGATGCCAGCTCACTGAAGCCAGGCATTCACTGGCTGTCTAGAAAAGCTAGACATGGTACTGTTTGTCTAGAAAATTCAAAGCCCACAAGGAGAAACTCTAAAACAGGACTCCCTAAACTATGCAATGAAGGGCTTAAAAAAAAAAAAAAGTGTTTCCAATCTGTCACAGACCAACACTTTGTAAAATACAACAAAATTTACCTGAAAATTTTGAAATTAAAAAATGACATAAAAATATGAGTCCCAAATCTTTATTTTTAGGTTCAGTGTACGTGAAATGATACCCTTAACGTCCCCTAAAAGGGTCTAAATGCTTGGTTTCCTTTCCTTTCCATTTTTTTTTTCTTTTTTGTGACAATCTCGCTCTGTTGCCCAGGCTGGATTGCAATGGTGCAATTACGGCTCACTGCAGGCTTGACCTCCTGGGCTCAAGTGATTCTCCCACCTCAGCCTCCAGAGTAGCTGAGACTACAGGCACGTCTGGCTACTTTTTTTTTTTTTTTTTTGAGATGGAGTCTCGCTCTGTCCCCCAGGCTGGAGTGCAGTGGCACAATCTGGGCTCACTGCAAGCTCCACCTCCTGGGTTCACGCCATTCTCCTGCCTCAGCCTCCCGAGTAACTGGGACTACAGGTGCTCGCCACCACGCCTGGCTAGTTTTTTGTATTTTTAGTAGAGACAGGGTTTCACCGTGTTAGCCAGGATGGTCTCAATCTCCTGCTCTAGTGATCTGCCCGCCTCAGCTTCCCAAAGTGCTGGGATTACAGGCGTGAGCCACCGCGCCCAGCCACGCCTGGCTATTTTTAAAATTTTTTTGTAGAGACAGGGTCTCACTATGTTTGGTCTTGATCTTGTGGACTCAAGCAATCCTCCCACCTCAGCCTCCCAAAGTGCTGGGATTACAGGAGTGAGCCACCATGCCTGGCTCAGTGCCACTGCACCAATCTCAATTTCTGAACTTATCTTGTAGAAGCCCAGGGACCCACAGCAGCCCAGAGACCACATTTTAAGTGGCATTGCCTTGAACCACCTGTACTTTCTTCCTTCTAAAGGGAAAGACTAATCTTTGTTTTTGTTTTAAGACAATCAGAATAATTGTTAATTATGTATTATGGACAAGTCACTACTTATCTAAACTTCTATCTCAGCTTATTGGTCTATTTTCTGATAATTCCAAGTTTTCTATCAAAGGATATGAGACACTTGCAAATATGTGGTCTAATTTTGTTTTGATAATATCCCTTTAAGGTTATAGAGGCATGTGATATTCCTGATTTTACTGATGGTACAACTGGACCAAGAAAGGTCATTTGACCATGATGATGGTAATGACAGTGATGACGATGGTGATGATAGTGATGATGATAGGGATGATAGCAATGATAGTGATGAAGATGGTAATGATGGAATGATGGCAGTGATGATATGATAATGATGGGGATGACGATAGTGATGATGGTGATGATAGTGATGAGGATGGTAATGGTGGTAATGGTGATGATAGGAATGATGGTGGTGATAGTGATGATGACAGTGATGATGGTGATAATGATGGTGATGATAGTGATGATGGTGATCATGATGGTGATGATAATCATGATGATGGTGGAGGTGATGGTGATTATAGTGATGATGATGATGATGGTGATGATAGTAATATGGTAATGATGGTGATGATGTTGGTGATGGTGATGACAGTGATAGTGATGATTGTGATCATTGTGATGGTGGTGGTGATAGTGATGATAGTGATAGTGATGGTGATGATGGTGGTGATGATAGTGATGATGATGATGGTGATGATGGTGATAATAATTGTGATGATGGTGGAGGTGATGGTGATTATAGTGATGATGATGATGGTGATAGTGATATGGTAATGATGGTGATGATGGTGATGGTGATGATAGTGATAATGATGA